GTGCATTAATCCCCTGATAGGGATCCACTAGTGGTGATTGTAGGCAGGTAGAGTGTGGCTGGAGGAGGTGAGTTGGTGGGGGTGTGCCTTTGGGAATTTTGTCCATGGTGAAGGAAGCTGTCTTTCTCTGCTTCCTGATTGTCACGTCCTGAGCTGCTTCCTCCTCCACACCCTTTTACTGTGATTTGTTCTGTCTCACCTTGGGTCCAGAGCAAAGGAGTCAACCATCTATGGACAGAGACCTCTGAAACCATGAGTCCCAAATATACTTTTCCTCCTCTAAAATTGCTCTTGTTAGATCTTTTGGTCACAGCAGGGGGGAAAAAACTGACTAAAACAGTGGGAAAGATATGGTAGAAAAGAGTTGCTCACCTCATGGTGGCCAGGAGGAGAGGGGATGTGGACGAAATATACCCTTCAAGGACTTGCCCCCCAGTGATTGACAAGCTCCAAAAAGGCCCCATCTCCTAAAGTTTGCACCACCTCCCAAGAGACTCAGGCTGGGAACCAAGCTCTCAACACATAAGCCTTTGGGATCATTCCAGATTCAAACCCTAAAACCTGGGCAACATGAGGGAACAGCTCATCCACACTTTCTCCCTAGCACATCATCCACCTTCTAGTCTCTGCTCCTGAGCAGTGTCCCTATGGCTGCCAACAGGAGATTGGAGAAGGAAGGAGTCCCGGGTCCTGCCAGGATCCAGCAAGATGAGATGTGACAACCTTTCTCTCAGCAGAATACCTCCAGACACTCAAGAGGAGAGCCCAGCGTCTACCCAGGTCTGTGTGCAGGGGCCATCCAGGCAGAGGTAAGGGGGACAGGGGCATCCCATGGGGCTTTGAGAATGAGTCTACTATGTCCAAGATGGATGTGTCATTCTCCTCCCCAGTGACAGTAAACTTCATGTATCAGCTTGGTGAGGCCATGACACCTATTTGGTCAAATGCTGGTCTAGGCACCACTATAAAGGGAATTTTTAGATGAGATAAACATTTAAATCAGTAGACTTTGAGTGAAGTAGATTATCCTCCATAAGGGAGCTGAGGTCCTAATGGTCAAATTTGTGCATGAAGGTAAGTAATGATAATAACAGACCTCATAACCACCGAATAAAATAGGAATTCTTGAGTCCACATTTAAAGACAGAACTGTGGAAAGTTCCTCCCTACATTTGAATGTTAACTAATAAATGTGGAAAGAATGACAAAATTAGCAATCATTAGTTGGCAATCAGAATAATCATTCATGCAAGTAAGAATTGTCAATGAATGCTAAAACTAGCAAATATGTGATATTTACAGAATCAAAGTCTATCTCTGTAAGGTACTGCTGAATTACAAAAGGGGAAATATTTACTTCACAGTGGAGAAGTTTGGCCAGACAGCATAAAACCAAGTGATCAAAGCGACCATCACCAGCAAGGAGACAGTCAACATCATGAACCTCTGAAAGAGACACAACACCATTTCTGGGGTATTCCTGCCTAAGTAACAACAATAAGGTCAAAGCAATGTTGTCAGTGACTTTCACAGAGTGAAGGTTTATTTGTCCCTGGTGGCACTTCATATGACTAGGGACTCATTTCCCCACCACAGGTGAACTTGACCTCCTAACCCAAGATAGCAACATCCACGTTCCAAGTGCACCGCATCTTAAGGAAATTTTCTGAAAGCCGGCAAGAAGATGTCTGCTTCCTCCCCTTTGGTCAGAGCTCACTCACTCAACTGACCTGGCTGCAAAGGAGACTGGGAAATGTAGTCTTTGTTTAGGGCAGTTGTGTGCTCCGGCAAACAATCCTAGTACCATGAAAGAGTTGTGGATATATAACGGGCAGGGGAAGGCAACTGGCCATCTCTGGCATGCGGCTGTTCTTTTGTTCCAAATCCATGTGTCTTTAACCTCCAGTTCTTCCTATTAGGATCTCGACTCATGTCACCCAGTGCACTACCCCACACACAGCATACCCACATGTGCAAGAGCTCAGAGCCACCTCCTGCAGCCTTTGATCCTCTAACAGGCCTGGGTCTGTCTCCTTCCTGTGCCTACTCACTATTTTAAAGTCTTAAGTTCATTTCCTTTAGAAATCACAGTTTCATTTGGAAATGTCTCCCAGTCTTTCTGCTGCCTAAGCTGCTGTGACCAGGATGGCCAACTTTTGTTCCTTTCCTTTATAGATAAGCAAATTAAAATGTCTCTGCTAAACAACCATGTCCCCTGACCTTACCCTTTATCAGAGCTGTGGGGAAAAGAGTAGATTTTGAGTTTTTGAGCTTAGCTGGGAACCACAGATAGGCCGCACTTCTGCACATGAGCCTAAGAAACGCTGATGGCCTAGAATGCACCAGGGGGAGAGGCTGTGCTCAGAGATAAAGGGTGCCAGCCATGGGTCACTTGTCACAGATTTCCTTCTCATCTTGCCTTTTCACTGTAGAAGAACAGAATGGCAACTTTAGCAGTTTAAATGCTAACAGGCTATGGTTTTGATTGACACACAATCACTGTTTGACAGTCAGAATAATAAGAATAACCATTCATCCAAGCAAGAATTGTTGATGAATGCTAAAACTAGCAAATATGTAAGCTCTGCTTACTGACATTTAACCATAGAGGCTTGCAGTGGCTAACAGGTAGCTGTAACAGATAACTGCAGGAGCAGAAGCAGGGAACAATATAGTGGACCAGAACAGTCCCCCTTTAGGCTTAGAGCAGTAAAAGTCCCTAAGTTGTATGAGCAAAGAGTCCCTAGGCTGTTGGCAAGCCTATAAAGAATGTAAGATGCAACCTCCAATAGAATTGCACCAACTCTCTTGCCTCGATGTACCCGAAACTTGCTTATTTATAAAAGTTAAAGCTCTGCTACACTCAGGGCTCAACCTTTGGGAATTATCCCTCTGGGCCTTGGCACCACTAATTAAGTTTTGCTTCTAAATCTCAATGTCCTGGCCCTCATTTCCTGCTATACGGCCACCTCCCCAGCTCCACTCCTGTAAAGATGTGGGGAGGTTGGGAAAGCCACATCCTTTTGAGCCTATGTTATCATTGTGAAAGTGGCTCTCCAAGTCTGCCTTGGTATACATGTGACTTGATTCTCCTGATGTGGCGGAGTGGCAGGCTGGAGTGGGGGTACCACCCAGAGTGTAGAATCTGGGATTCTGTAACCAACAGCCCGTATCATCTGTCTTCTTATTCCACTCTGGGACCTTGGGGGCTATGGCTGGCACTTAGTCAACGGGTTGAGTAAACTATGAATATTAGTATAGGTGTGTGTTATCTGACCCCTGCCTCCAGGGTGGGCACTGAACAAGATCAGCCCTGGTGAAATAAAACATTCAAAAKGGGGCAGAGGAGGCCAGAAGATGATGGATTCATGCATATCACAGAGGAGAGGGTAGAGAGGACATGTCATGAAAGAGTCCAAGTCAGAAGTGCCCCCAAGGAGAGGTAGCAAGGGATAAAACTTTCCCTGGATGAACCACCAAGAAGTCCATCATGAATCAGAGGTTCCCAGTGTAGAAGAGAGATGGGGGGCCCCTTCTCTCCTCAGAGGCTTGGGGACGGGTATGTGCAAGCACCATACTGGACTCAGCCTCTCCCGGCCTCCTACTCCTCCCAAACTGGTGTCCAAAAAGCAGCAGTCACCTGGGGACAGAGCTTACTAGAATTGGTGGTGGGAAGGTTGATTCCACAACTTCTAAGAACAAGTCCTTGCCCAGCTGCAGAAGATCCCACTAAGGAACTCATAGAAGAAGCCTGAAGCATTCAGGTGACAGCAGAATGGCCCTTGGTGTGCAGTTGAGTCCTGCAGAGCCAGTTAGATGATGCCACCACTGGGACACTGTTGGGAGCCGGCGACCGCACCCTGAAAATGGCGCTGGTTTCCTGCTTCTGCTTAATTAGCGGTTGGAGCTGTTAGAAGTAAACAGCTCCTTGTAAGGCTGTGGGCTGGGCTCTGGCCTGCTTCCGCTGCGCTGTACCTACTAGACTYCTCCAYGTGGTGCTAGTTSATTGGCGRGGCTGGGTACTTAARCTASGGCAGACCGACCGCTCKCGCTCTTTCCTCTCTTGTTCCTGTTTTCTCATCATGATTCAAAGGTCCTGAGTAAACTGCTGAAAGAAGAATCCTGTGTCATGTTTCCCTTACTGGCGAGGAGTCGCGACAGGACACAAGCTATGTGTGCAGGAGGAAGGTATCCCTCCACCCCAGGGAGCTCGGGTCATGGGGGAGGCATCCACCAGAGGCCCAGGATGTTGACCCAGCGGGTTCTGGTTTCTTTCTCCTGCCCAGCAGAGGGCTTTCCTGCAGATGCCACAGGGAATGGAATGGAGGAGGTCAGGGGCTTCAGACAACCAGGTTTGGCGAGAAGAAACAAAGCCAGCCATGTTCAACCCAAAAGGGATGCAGTTGAGGTTGGCTGCTGGCTAACCCACAGACTGCCAATCTGCTTCTCCCCAGCCCATCTCCACCATAGAGACTAGGAAAGTGACATGCTTCCTTTCCCAGACTACCTTGCTGTTGGTTCAGGGTCACATGACACAACCGAAGTCTTCTGGAGTCGTTTTTGCTTTCTTCCTAAGAGGGACAGAGATTAAGATCAAGTCCCGTTTGCCTGCATTTTCCTGCCTTAAATCTAAATCTAAGCATGGTGCCTGGAGCTATGGCATCCATTTTGCCACCATGATAAAAGATTGAATTAATTGCAGAGATGCTAGCTCTGTTACCATTGAGTCACTGAACCAATACCCGGCACTATTATGAAATGTCAGTGGAAAAAAATTGATGAAGCCACTACCATTGAGTTTTGCATTGTTTGCATTCTGGATACATCAGGAAACCTGCCCATATCCTATGTAACAGCAATTTAGTGAACTGTTGCATAAAAGGAGTCATGACCCATAAAAGTCCAATAACCCTAACTCCAAATAGAAGTCACATGAAGTTTTCTCCTCTAAAAACTCCTTCCCCCACAGTTTTATCAACATACCACAGTTTCCGTGCTGCTTAAAGTGAAACAAAATGTTTTATTAAGGCATGTAGAAAGCACACAGTATCTGCAGTGGCTATGTGGCAGGTGCTCAGCAGAGCCATTCAATCCAGCCTGGCCCGGGACCGAAAGCCCCTGAAGACTCACTTCCCCACCACCTCACCCACAGCAGWCAATCCACTCTGCACACTAAGCTGCCCTGGGAGCGAGGCATGTGTTTGGATTCTCTGTGTCTTTTGCCCATGTTCAGGCCAGATGGCTTTCCATGAGAAGTCCTGACACCGAAGGAAGTCACAGGGGGGTGCTTCCTTTCCTTAGCAATCCTCCTCCAGGGCAACTGTCTGTTGGCCACATTGCAGAAACTAGCCCCTCGTTGGCTGCTTTGGGCAGAAACCTCATATTCCCTCACAACTCCCTATCAGGGCCTTATTTTTGCAATTCCTGGACTCTGCCTGCCAGGCCCCTACCTTCTCTGCCTGTTGATGGTTCCACCAGGAGCATGTCTAAAACTAACATATGCAGTGCCTCTCCAGACAAGTCAGAAGAGAGGAGCTGGGGTTTGTGTGTTGCTTGGAGCAAGTGTAAGCTGGGAAGTGTAGGGATGCTGAGGGGGGATGGGTGCTGAAACAAGCCTGTGYTAGATGGGGCAAGGGGACTCCTGTGCTTCCAGGTCCAGAGACATCTGGTGCACCAAATGGACGAGGAGTCGGGACACCTGTGTTCTTCTTCCAACTCTGTTATCAGCTATCTGTGTCTCTGGGCAACCACTGCCCTTAGCTTCCTGGATTGTGAAAAGCAGGGATTTGATAAGTATGTTCCATGAAATTTGGGAGACATACTTATTCTTAAAAAAAAGTATTATTTTTGTTCATCAAAAAATCAATTTTGAAAGACCGTTCCAGCTCTAACCCTTTGGGAAAATAATATCCATAGGTCAATTTGTGCAAATCCTTTTACTTCTCAAAGTACTTTCACATCAATGATTTTCTGTTCTTAGAACTTTCTTGAAGATTATTTAGATGAGATCCCATTTCCCCTGCTCCACAAAGAGGGAATAAGGCCCAGATCAGTGGAGCAGGGCTGAGGCCAGAATCCTGACCATATTAGGGTTGCTGCACCCAGCTCTGCAGCATATGCCGCAGGTGCAGGTGGTGGCAGGAGAGGAGAGAAGCAGGTAGGTATCCAGGGGTGGGACCATGTTGGCCTTAAGGAGGGGGCTTTTTTCTCCAAATGTTTGCCCAGAAGTGTCATCTTGTTCTCAGAGTCCTTCCAGTGGGACAAGGAGCAACTTTTCAACCCAGAAAATACCTGTAGGAGAGCTTTTCCTAACCCACATAAAGGCTCCTCTGTGCAGGGAGCAGACTAGCTCCTGGGCAGCCCCTCTTCTCACTTTGGAGCCAGAAAAATAGGTCTGTATCTGGGTTGCTGGATGACCTTGAAGACAGCCAGTTATACTTGAACTYCAGATAAACAACCCAAATACATTTAGGATAAGTATGTACTGGGCAATTTGGGGCACATACTTATTCTTTTTTTTTWAAAAAAAAAARWAKTATTTTTATTCATCTAAATTTCAATTAACTGGACACCCTGTAGTTTTATTTCTAAATCTGCAAAGGAGAGGCAGTGGTATGTTTAGGTCACTTCATATCAGCTCATGAGAGCCAATTACAAAATCTTTAGGAGTTTTATGAGTTGTTAAACCACTGGTTGCTTGAAATCAACCATGGTTGGATCATTCACACCAGAGAAATTGCCTGTCACTGCTAATCAGTGCTATTCTCTCTTTAGAGCTGGATTTGAAGCATTTACAACATAGCACTATCTATTGGCTTCCTTGTCTCTGACATCCTGGGTAAAGACAGAAACCATGTCCGGGAGACTCTACAGTCCCTGGGAGTCAGATAGTTTAGCATACTAGAAAAATGGAATTTTCCACTCCCAGGACCCTAGAACACAGGATGTTGGAAAACATAGAGCTCTAAAGTGAGGATGTTAGAATCTCAGACTTTCAGAAAAGATATGAGTGCTGAAAGCAGGGGCATTAGATGCTACCCGTCCCTCCCTAGCACGTGGACAAGTGCTGGCCCTCCTGGCTCAGGGCYCAGACCTCTTGCGGGCCACAATGAAGCACACGCCGTTGTTGGAAGCAGTGGTGGTGGAATAGTTATGGGGGCTGTGCAGGAGCTGCTCGATGTCAAAGCCAGCGTCCAGCACCGCCTGCTCCACCTCCTCCTTCTTCATGGACACGCAGGAGAACTTGAACTTCCCCACCACGTAGGACGAGATGTCCAGCGTGACTGTGGTCACCAGGTGGCCGCCTGGCTTGAGCAGCGAGGCGAGGTTGCGCAGCGCAGCACGGTAGGCGTCGAGGCTGCAGCAGGCGCACTCCATGGCCAGCAGGGTGAGCACGCAGTCGGCCGGGGGCAGCACCACCGGGGCCAGCGGGTTGCTCAGGTTGGCATCGCACTTGAGCACACGTTTCACCCTGGCCCGCAGCTTCTCGGCCTTCTCCTGCCAGCGGCCACTGCGGAGAGAGGGCGGGGCTCAGGGAAGGCACGTCCAGGCTGCCCACACACACAGCCTGCCATATGTAGATGGGGGAGTCCCAGAGTCCCTGTGTGACCAGTCAGTGGYGCTTCTACAATCTAGGCCTTGGTCCCACAGCAGGAAAACGATGAGGGAGTGGTAGGAACCTTCCAGTGAGCCCCCTTTACTTGATCCCCATGAAGGAAGAAGAGCCCCAGGTGTGGGCTGGTGGATCAGCACGGTGAGATGGAGGGATGAATTAACAAATTAACTGCAGATGGATTTGTGGTATGGCTATTTTAAAAATACCGTGTGGGGAGATGAAAAGCAGATCCAGGAAGCTAACAGGGAGCAGATTACTTAGTCAGACAGTTCGAAAGTTTGTAAAACTAAGAGCAGATTGTTTAGACATACATAATCCATATTAGTGATTCTCTCAGGTGGAGATGCAGGGAGCTAGGAGGGGAGGAGCATTGAGTGAGCCTTCAAGGTGCCTGAGCTCAGGGTGGTGGTGGGCAAAGGCCTCTCACAGCTGGGGAGACAATAGAGGGAGGGAGGGAATTGGGAGGGAAGGAAGGGGGAGGGAGATAAGAGGGAGGGAGGGAGAAAGGGAGGGAGGGAGGAGGAAGGAAAGAGAGAGGGCAGAAGGAAGGAAGGAGGGAAGGAGGAAGGAAGGGCCCTGTCACCTGGCCTTCAGTGGTCATACTTGGCTATGTCACACTTCAACACAGTCCTATGATCCTATAGCTCAGAGATCCACCTACTCTGTCCCCCACCCCAAGGCATCTGGTCCCATTCTTGAGGGTCCTACTGTCCTCAAAATGTCAGGGACAACTGAGGCCAGAGAGCCCTCTGAGAAAGGTGTTGGGGGGGGAGGCCCAGCAGGGGACCCTCCCAAGCTGCATCCCCACCTGTTCCCTTCCAGCTCGCAGGCAAATTTCAGCACCGAGGTCCAGTCATGGGCCCCCGGCTCCTTCCTCAGCCACTTCTCCAGCTCCTCCCGGTTGCGGTCCGTGAAGTCCGAGAGCGTGATGTCTGCAAAGGCCTCGCAGGCAGCCAGCACTTGGTAGATGGTGGGGCCTGAGCCAATGTCGATCAGTGTGTCCCCCCGAAGACCCCCTGTGAGGGAGAGGGGGGGTTAGGTAAGAAGCAGCACCAAGCAWGAGGGTTTTCCTGGCTCGGCAGCTTCCAGCAGGGAAGACCCATCCCACACTCGTGACATGAATTAATTTCCATTTACAGCTCACAGCCACCTGTGGGGCAACTACTCCTGTTTTTCCCATTTTACACATTAGAAATCTGACTCGGAGAAAGGGTMAACAATTCGCCCCGTATCTTACTGGGAACTGGAACCCCCAGCCCTGTTCTGGAAAGGATTCAGGCTGCCGTGTCCCCAGGCAGGGGCCCTTTCAGTCTCAGACTCCCTGGACATCAGCCCCACTTGGGTGGGTTCCTTGATGGGAACAYGGAGTGTGGAGCCAGCAAAGCGGGGAGCTGAGAGGAGATGACCTGGGAAGACCCCCAGTGAGTTGAGGCCCACCTGGGAGCCGGAGGGAAGCGTGACTCCCAGCATTCCCTGCAGAGCCAGGCTGGAGCCGCCTCTCTGCTCTCTGAGGTCTGCTTTCCCCACCTGCTTTCTCCACCAGGCCTTGGAGCCTAGCAGCCCTCTCTTGCCYCTGGGCCACCAGACAACTCTGTCCCTCACTTTTTTCCAGCCAAGTACCCCTAGTGAGGACGCGACGGCACAAACCAAGAGGACATGGCCAAGCACCATGGGTCCACCTTACGGACGGTTCAGACCAGGGTGCTGGGCGGAGGGCCCTGCCAGGAGGTTAGTGACAGGGCTGAGACCCCACGCAGCACTTCCCGAGTAGGGCTGTCCTCRCAGCCACAAGCAGGCCATGCATTCCAGGTGTGGTGCCGTCCCGAGGTCACCACAGTCCATTTGCCCTTGACTTTCTCAGGCCTCAGAGCAGGGCTGGACTTGGTGATAATCCCGAGAGGCTTCCCCACCCACCCCTCTCCTTGAGGCCTTCCAGGARAGCAGTTTGGGAGCCACAGGGTGCTGGGTCCTCCCCTGCACATCCTGAGCCCTGGGCCTCACAGCTCCTCAGCTTCTCAGGCCTGTGGGAGACAGACGGGACTTCCAGGAATACAGTTGTCTGGAGAGGCCCAGGGTCCCACCCCACCCCACRTCTGCAGCCCTGAGAGGAGCCTGGACTCCCCAGGACACTCTTTCTCTGTCTCCCATCTGGGTCCCTGGAAAGAAGCTGAGGGCYGAGGGCCACCTCTGTTCACCTGGGCCAAAGGTCTTGTGGAGACACTCGAGGTTAAACTTGATCATCTCCGTCTCAGGCGACGGGCCATCCTCAAAGCTGTAGTAGGTGGCCAGGTAGTCCCTGGGCAGGAAGTGCTTCTGGTACACATCACCCCCGGTGAAGCTGCCCTCCATGGTGACCCTCAGCTCCAATCCTTTCGCCTGCCTGCCTGCTTGCCAGAGTCTTATAAGGGCTCATCCCTCAGACTCCACCCCCAGAATTCCCGAATCGTCCCTTTGCTCCTCCCATRCTGGCCTGTCCATGAGTTTCCCCTTCTGGGAGGATGCAGAAGGGACGGGGACCCTCCTCACTCCACCACACTGGCATGCCCTACCTGACACTCTTCTAAATCCAGAGCCACGATGGCTGCAGCTGCTTCCTCTMGGAAGTGATGTGTGTCCGTCAGGGGCAACTGATGGTGCCAGCCCTGGGTGCAGCTCTCGCCCGCATGCACGTGGGGCAGGTGTCAGACTACCGTTTCTCCATCTGTGTGCCCGCTTCACTGGCTGTAAGAATCCAAGGCATCACCCTGGGTCACAGGTATCCTGGGCCTGAGCACATAGGAAAGTCCCCACCTGGACCCTGGAAGTCAGCAGGGCCCAGTGGCTCTCTCCAGGCCAGGCAGTGGGCATTACGCCATGGAGCCCAGTCCTGGTGGGGATCAGAGTTCAGGCCCAGGGGTGGGAGCAGAGCACTGAGGGGGGGCACACGGGGAGATGAGAAGTTGCCTCTGGGTACATGAACCCCTGTACCTCAGTGTTCTTCCCTTTAAAATGGGAATGGGTTGTAAAATCTCCCCCAGACAGAGAAAAACTCAGCCTCCTTTTGTTTTTGTTTTTTTTTTGTGTGTGTGTTTTTTTTTTTGGACCAGGAACCGGCCCTGACTTGGCCACAAACCAGACTGAAATGAATCTGCCACCCTGGAGGTTCGGGCCTGCTGCCCTGGAAATGGGAGGGATAAGAATGTGTTCTTCTGACTTTAAGTAAACAAACAACTCGGACTCCCATAACCCCCGACAGCTTGCAGTCGGGGCAGGATCAACCCAAGGTCACTCCCCCTGGCTTCCAAGGGAGGCCAGAGACCATGGCTGAGCAGGCAGGAAATTGCTGTGTTCAGATTACATAACCCAAGAAGAGTTTTTAAAAAGGGACAGTGCTAACAAAGACACCAGTGGCACTGGGGGAAGCCACGAGGTCCCCTTTTTAGCCAAGGTTCCCTGGGGAAATAAGACCAATGGGATGTGTACWTAGAAAGAAAGGATTTGTCTTAGGGAATTGGYTCTCAGGRTGATAGAGRCTAGCAAGTTCAAATCTGCAGGGTGGGCTGTAAGCTAGAGACTCAGAGAARAGCTGATATTATAGTTGAAGTCTTAGGACCACCTCCCTGATTGGAGAAGGTCCAGTCTTTTGATGCATTCAGGTCTTCAYCTGATTGGATTAGGCCCACCCACACTAGGAGGACAATCTGCTTTACTCAAAATCCACTGACTTAAGTGTCACCCCCATCAAAAACACCCTCATGATAACTAATGTGTTAATAAAATAAAAATAAAACCTCACAAAAACTTCCAKAATGATGGTGGACCACGTATCTGGACACCACAGCTGATTCAAGTTGCCACGTAGAATAAATATCACAATAACTCAGGGCTAGTGGCAGACAGGAGCTATTATTCTCTGAGACCTGAGACAAAGCTGTGTAGAGAAGGCCCCCTGCAGCAGCCAAACTAAAAAAATTAATTACCAGTCTTCCTTCTCTTCCCTCCCTCAATATCCAGCTGAAACCTGGAGGGCAACGGGGCTGCAGCTGGGGTCCCCTCAAATAGCCTCTGGAGGCCCACAGCTGCTGGGSAGGAAAGGAGAATGGGTGCTGAGAGACACGTGGATGCACAGCACAGGATCCCAGTCCCGGTTACAGACTTGGGAGTGGAAGGTGCATGCACCATCCGGGAGATGCCCAGAGCCCGGCAGTGAAATGGGGCATCTAGGGCTCTCCGCAKGGTTGGGGGAGAACATCCCTCCCAGAACGATCCACCTGCTGCAATTGGATGCCCTTGGAAGATGGCCCTCCCCAGCACCAGGCCTCCAGTGTCTCCTGCTGCCCAGAGGAATGAATGCAAACTCCTCCCCACCCCACCCTGGGGCATTCCACCTGCCTCTCCACAGCCCACCTCACATCCTGATCCCAGCCTGGTCCGGTCCGCAAGGGGATCATCTGCTCCAAGATACATCTCTCATGGATGTATTCTTAGAAAGGGGTTTTCAGCYATTGACATTTGGGGCCAGATAATTCTTTGTTGGGATGGGGATACTGAACTGTGTACTGTAGGATTTTTAGCAATCCTGGCCTCTGCCCACTGGATGCCAGTAGCAYCCAGTTCCCAGATGTCACAACCAAGAACGTCTTCAGACAGTGCCAGAGGTATCCTAGTAGGAAAAACTGCCCCAGCTGAAGACCTCTGTCCTAAGGTCTGCTCTCATCAACTGGATGACATTCTGTTCATGCTCAGGCAATTTCAGTCCCTTTTAAGAATGCGCATGTCATTTCAGGAAGCTTTTTATTTGTTTTATTTTTATTTATTTTGTTTTGTATTGAGGCAGACTCTTGCCAAATTGTCCAGGCTAGCCTCAAACCTGTGCACCTACTGCCTCTGTCTCTGCAGTACTTGGGACCAGCATCTATCTATACTGTGATTTTTTTTTAATAGCTCTAGGAAATTTTTATTCAAAGGACTTTGGCCACAATTTTAAACAATGGACAAATTTCAAGAAAATGGAAGAGTCATTTAAAGTCAGCCAGTCAACAAAAAAAAAATCAGTCCCCTCCCATCTAGGAAAACCAGGGTCTCAGCAGGCCACACTCTCTATGACTTCTGCCACCGGTCTTCCTGCTTCACTCTTCAGAAGGAAGAGATGGGCCCAGAAGTGGGGAATCTACAAATATAGACAGGGCCTGTTTTGTGTGCTGAGATGCAAGCCTCACCTCACCCCAAAACCCAAAAGGCTCTGTGTCTTCCATGTGTGAAAAAAATATATATATCGTATCAACCACAGACGTCAACACTACTGATTAGTTACTAAGGCTCAGGGTGGAAAGAATTTTCTAACYTTAGAAGTAAGCCCCAAGAGCTAGGCGCAGTGGCACATGCCTGTAATCCCAGCATCTTGGGAGGCTGAGGCAGGAGGAATGCAACTTCAAAGCCAGCCTCAGCAACTTAGCAAGGTCCTGTCTCTAAATAAAATTTTTAAAAAGGTGGTGGTGGGGTTGCTGAGGATGTGGCTCAGTGGTTAAGTGCCCCTGGGTTCAATCCCCCTGGAGAAGGAGAAGGAGGAAGAGGAGGAGGAGAAGGAGGAGGAGGAGGAGGAGGAGATGATGGGGAAAGGGGAAAGGAAAGGAGAGGAAGGGGAAGAAGAAGAAGGGGAAGGAGAAAGAAGCCTAAAGGGAAAGAAACAAGAGATTCATCATTCTCATTCAAATCACGTAATATATGATATTATTACAGAAAAACAAATAATTAAAAGGCAAAAGATACTGTTGTTTTCCGTTTGGGAGATTAATTTAACAATTACTTGCCTAAGTCACATATACAAAATTATTTTTAAGTTTTCAGACCCTGACTCAGTAGTAATCTCACATACAGGAATCTAACCCAAAGCCAGCATCCAAAACACAGAGAAAGCTGTGGGCRTTCCCAATGACGCTGATCACGTCCTCTCTCATGAAAACCTGTGATGCTCTACCCACCAACACTAAGCGGACGGAGCAACCTTAGGGAAGTCATTGGCCACCAACGACTGTCATTTCCAGARTTTGAAGAGTGATGGAGAGGGATGTTGTGTCAGTGCTGGGAGGGCAGAGCCACATGATAACAGCCCAGCACAAGTGTGCAAGGGCACACGCCTGGAGGGGTCCTGACAGGAGAACTCCAGGGCCGAGGGTGCACTCAGTGCACCAACTCCTAACTCCCCAGAGTGTGTGTCCATCAGACCCACGTCTGTTCATTTTAACAAATTAAGTAGAAGTCTCGTTTCACTGTCCCTGCTGGACAGGCAGCCGGGCCTTCCCTGTCTGGTATACAATCGCCACTTTCTCACTGACGAGTCCAAGCCCCATTCACCTCAGAAAAGGGGGAGATTTATAGGTGACTCAACCTGATGATGAGAACGATGGTGAAAGAGGGGTTGAAATTTATATTCTGAAACGTTTTCCCRCTAACGAGAAACCCGAACATCACCGCGGACCACCTTTGGTTCTGGTGACAGGACTCAGGGCTCTTCTGCTCCACCTGGGATGATGTCCTTGCTCGCTGGGAGCCGGGAGGAGAGACAGAATCTCAGAAGCGGTCTCTGTGTCATCACTGGGTCCCAGATGATGCCTGGGTGCTCGACAAAGGGACAGAGACAGGCGGGAGGGCATGCTTTGATGGACAGGGGGCGCTTGGAGGCAGCTTTGGGCTCGGGGCCTGGCATTTGAATCTGAACCTATCATTGCTGCCAGGCCACAGTGGGCAAGGCACAGCCCCTTCCTAGTCCCTGAGGGAGCAGGTCAGGATCTACTTCCTAGATGAAGGTGACAGGCGACGCTGGCATGCAGTGGGGGCACAGTAAGTGTCAGGGACTTCTACCCAAGGCGTCTTCCTTGATGTCACTCTTCGGACTGTGTGAAGCCACTCACCCCCAGCCTGAGTACCAGGCTTGCCCATTTGCAAAATGTACTAGAATTTGTGGCCTGAAATGACTTTCCTTGAAAGGGACTTTTGGAAAGGGATTTGACAACACTATGTTTTCTTAATAATAAAGCTTTATTTGGAGGTCATTATAGATATCTGTGCAGCTATAAGTGTGAGAGTCTATGTACCCTCTGCCCAGTTTCCCACAAGAGGAATATATTCCAAACCAGTAGTACAAGATCACAACCAGGGCATTGCCCTCAATACCACCTGGTTCTGCGTGTGTGTGYATTTACGTGGGGGTGGAATTTGATGCCATGTTGTGACAGGTCCTTCTCATGTCCAAAAACATAGGGCCTCCCATGATTTTCAGGGGCCCTGCCTATGTTTATTCCTGCGCTGATCAAAGAGAAAAGATTGATTCGGCAAATGGGTGAAGTAAACAAGATTAAAGCCTGGGGGAATATTTGAC